CTATTTGGCCAAATTCTGGTAAAAGGGAGATATAGCTAAAAAGCATGTAGTTTCGTTTGGCTTTACAAAAAGCCCAAGGATTGTAAATATGATGTCTCGAAAACCTACTTACTTATAAACGAAAAACAAGGTTTATATATCTGAAATCATAGTCTAAGGATACAAGCCGCTGAACTCACTAAAGCGTGTTTGACAGAATCTTGCTGAATAGGCAAGCGAGGTACGGTCAACTTCTGATGCTGGTAATCGATGGCCATCAAAGAAATGGCCAACATGCGCAGCATGATTGGCCGAATCAGCCGACTTAGCATCGAGACATCCGCACTATGAGGAGTCGCTGCCAGTGCAGCGTCATCAGGGGCTCCGGTCAAATGAACATCGGGTTCAACACTAATACCAGGACAAGGAGAAGTCAAATCTACAGTTTTGCCAATATCCACTCTTGCTGAACAATCCGGTCTTTCCGAAGCCAGTTTAGCTAAGCTGCCATCCCCATGTGGGCCTACCTTCCAGTTATTACAAATAGTGCCTCCAAGACTGATGGTGTGATTTTGGGGCGACTGTTCACACATTTTGAAGCCACTTGAACCATTGGTTTCGGCGTAAAGGCTGTTTTTGGCGCTGTGGGGGGCCAATGAAAGTCGATAAAGAGCCTGAGTTCTGGTATGAGTTGAACGGAGTACTAGCACGAGCTCATTGAGGACGGTCCAGCAAAGGAGATCCAATCGATTCGAAGGGATCGGTCTAAGGTAAAGAATTGGTGGGGTAAGTGGGTATTGGAATTGCTAAGAGGAAAAAGACTGCAGTGACAGTAATTAAAGTGAAACAATAAAAATAATAAATGGGATATATGGAGGATGGATAAAGGCTCAGGAAAAAGCAGATAAAAAGAAAGGAAAATCACGTATAAAAAGCAATATTGAAAATGAGGAAATTAGTAAGAAATAAAGAACAGCAATATTGATAAAATAATGACTTATGACAATACAGAACATTGCATAGTGAAACTCAAGGAAAATTGATGAGTAATACCTACCTATCTGAGAGCTCCAAGAATTGCTGAATAAGGTAGAGAAATTTGATTATGACGTATTTAAGATCTTTCATCCTATAGTCAAAAAATATTGAAACAGAATGAGAATAAAACTATGGTCATAAATAATAGTCTATGGATCAGTATCCAAAATAT